GTGAGGGCGAATCTTAGTAAGATCAGGAGAGGGTAAGGAGATGGATCGCCTATTGTTCTTTCCAATAAGCAATTTGTAATTGCCAAGTTCAACGGACAGCCAGTTGGTGGCAATGAAATAATTTTTGTCCAAGGTAATAGGACCTGGCACTAGTGTGTGGTGGAATTCATCAAAACTCTCCTTAACTTCCAAGTGGGTCACCAAACCGCCTAGGACTATAGGGTCTCCATTAGGTTTAACAGTGGTGAAGGTAATCCCTGTTTCCTAAGATGAAGGGAAAAAAGGTGAGAAATATTCATCCGAAAACCCTCATCAGAATCCCCATATCTTAGGTAACTACCCAAGATTGCAACCTCGTCTGCCCTAACGTTATTAGGTTTTATCCGTCCAAAAATAGTCCACCCAGAAAAGCGAGTCCAAAGTCTAAGGACGGGTTGATGGATTTTGTTAGCGGGGGCATGTTGCATAGACTCAATGTTTTCACCTGTCATGGCAAACCACAAATTCCCAGACATGAAGTTGTTCGGTTGCATGGTTAATCCTGTGGACGGAAGACCAAACTTCCTAGCAAAACCATCTAATGTAAGACGATGGGATTTATTCAACAATCTATAAACTACATGTGTCACCAAACCATCTCTACCTTTTACTACATCAAAAGAGCTCAAGAATTCAAGAGTGATGTCTTCATATGTATAATGGATCATGTTAAACAATCGAGACATGCCAAGTTTAGAAAACAAAGTTCTCCAGAATCAATTCCTAATTTTGCAAGAAGAGAACAATCTATAAAACGAGTAGGAATTACCTTCCGATGTTGGAGCTCTAGGAAATTCGACCACGAGATTGATGTGTGGAAAACCTGGAATTCTCTCCAAATCAAGTTGTGGATCTTGGGGGGCGCTCCTATTTCTCTTCCTTGTAGCCATTGATGGTTCTCAAGCTTTATCTCCGTAGAATAGAAAAATGAAATTTGGGTGAGATGAGTGTTTGGAGGGATAGGAATAGTAATGGAGGTTGGATATGGGGTAGAAGTGATGAAGTATGAAGAAATTGAAAGGATTTGAGCCAAATTTGTGGGGATTAGAGGAGAGGATGAGAGTTAGGGATTGGGATTTAGGGATTTTTAGAGAGAGAGAGGGCGAGAATAATGAAGATGGAAGATTAGAATGAAGTGAGAGGATTTTATTTTTTTCCTTTCTGAAATACGACTTACATCGCTGCTATCCCTCGCGCCCGATTGGGCATAGGCGCCTAGTCGACCCGGCAGAGAGAGTTAGGAAAAGTTCTTGTTTTCTTTCTCCTATTTTCTGAACTTGGCTTCTCGCGCCCGATTGGGCATCCTATGCCCGGTCTGACCGGGCGGTGAAAGCAACAGACGTTCTGCCTTCCTCTTGCCTCTCACGCCCAGTTGGGGATGACATGCCCGGTCTGCTCGGGCGGTAAGGGTTAGAAAAAAAATTCTACGCTTCTTCTTCCCTTTTCTTCTCTTCTGATCAGTGCTTCTCGCGCCCGGTTTGGCATCCTATGCCCTGTCTGCTAGGGCGATGAGTAATTCCTCGTTTTATCAACCTTCGACGGCTTTCTTGACATCCCAATTCTTGCATAGCTCGGTGTTATCTGAAGAGCAAAAACAAAAACAACACAAACATAATACTAAAAAAAAAGAAAAAAAAAAGAAAAGGAAAGTAGGGAAAGCTAAGAAAACGGGTTGCCTCTCGCAAGCGCTTGTTTATAAGGTCGCTAGCTCGACCATAGTAATGCTTATTGAGTTGGCGATGGGGAAGAGAGTGCGATGTCCACCTTTTCTTCGATAGGATCCCCGACTCGATAATGCTTCACCCTTTGTCCGTTAACTTTGAAAGTGCCTCCGGCCTTGTTCCATAGTTCAATAGTGCCGTAGGGGTAGGCCTTAAAAACAGTGAAAGGACCCGACACCTAGACCGAAGCTTTCTAGGAAACAATTTCAATCGTGAGTTGAATAGAAGAACTTGATCTCCTTCCTTGAATTCTCTTCTCACAAGGCCCTTATCATGCCATCGCTTAGTTCTTTCCTTGTATAATTTTGAACTCTCATAGGCTTCAAGATGGAGCTCATCTAGTTCATTCTATTGTAACAACCTCTTTTCTCCCGCTGCTTTAGCATCAAAATTTAAAGTCTTAATAGCCTAAAATGCTCGATATTCTAGCTCAACGGGTAGGTGGCATGCCTACCCATAGACAAGTCTATATGGGGTTGTACCTATTGGCGTTTTAAAAGTTGTTCGGTATGCCCATAGTGCATCATCAATCTTGGCAGACCAATCTTTTCTTGTCCTTGCAACCGTTTTCTATAAGATAGACTTAATTTCTCGGTTGGACACTTCAACTTGACCACTGGTTTGTGGATGATAGCCAATGCCAAGCCTGTGTTGCTCTCCATATTTTTTCAACATCACTTCGAACCGATGCTCCAAGAAATGTGTTCCCCTGTCACTAATCAACACACGTGGGATACCAAATCGAGGAAAAATAATTTTCTTGAAAAATTTACTTACCACACGAGCATCATTGGTTGGAGTAGCAATAGCTTCAACCCACTTTGACACATAGTCAACGGCTACTAGGATATATCAGTTTCCATGAGAAGAAGGAAATGGACCCATGAAGTCTATCCCCCACACGTCAAACAACTCGACCTCGAGTATGTTGTTGAGTGGCATCTCATTTCTCCTAGAAATATTGCCCGTCCGTTGACAACGATCACAGGTCTTGACATAGGAATATACATCTTTGAACAAGGTTGGCCAATAAAACCCGCACTGCAAAATCTTCGCGGTTGTCTTCGAAGGACCTGCATGTCCACCACACAGTAAGTCATGGCAATGAGAGATGACATTGTTTACCTCATTCTCCGGGATGCATCATCTAATCCCTGCATCCGAACATAGCTTATACAAGAAAGGATCTTCCCAAAAGTGTCACCTTGCCTTATAGAGGAATTTCTTCCGTTGTTGAGACGATTAGCCGTGAGGCATTGTACCTGTGGACAAAAAATTAGCTAAATCAGCATACCAAGGTGACTCAATGTTCAAAAGAGCTAATAAATGATCATCAGGGAAAGAATCATCAAAAGGGAGGTCATCTCCATCCCCATTATCGAGGAGGAGGCGAGAGAGATGTTCTGCGACGACATTCTCAGTCCCCTACGTGTCCCTTTATCTCGATGTCATAATCTTGCAGTTGAAGGATCCAACGAATCAACCGCGGCTTGGCGTGACTTTTACTCATTAAATATCTCAATGCTGCATGATCTGTATGATTTATTACTTTCGAACCAACTAGGTAAGAATGAAACTTGTCTATTGCATAAATTACTGCTAGCATCTCTTTTTTGGCTGTGGCATAAATCATTAGAGCAGGGGTAAGAGTTTTACTAGAGTAATAAATAGCATGAAGTTTTTTGTCCTTTCGTTTCCCCAAAACGCCTTCTGCCGCATAGTCACTAGTATCGCACATAATTTCAAAAGGTAGGGTCCAATCCGGGGGTTGCATAACAGGAGCAGAGATCAAAGCTTCCTTCAACCTGTTAAAAGCTTCAAGACAAGCATCAATAAAAATAAATGGAGCATCCTTAGCTAGAAGCTCAGTTAGAGGTTGAGCAATTTTTTGAAAAATCCTTAATGAAGCGACGGTAAAAACCTGCATGACCAAGGAAACTTCGAACTCCTTTTATTGAGTTCGGAGGGGGTAGTCGCTCAATGACCTCTATTTTGGCCTTATCGACCTCAATACCCTTATTTGACATGACATGACCTAAAACGATTCCCTATTGTACCATAAAATGACACTTTTCCCAATTTAAAATTAGATTGACTTCTTAACATCTATGGAGCACCTTTTTCAAATTTTCAAGATATACATCGAAAGATGTTCCATAAACAGAAAAGTCATCCATAAATACTTCCATAGAATTCTCTGTGAGACCTGAAAAAATTTGCCATCATACAACGTTGAAACGTGGCTGGAGCATTACATAATCCAAATGGCATCCTACGGTATGCAAAAATGCCATATGGACATGTGAATGTGGTCTTTTCCTGATCATAAGGACAAATAGGAATTTGAAAGAAACCAAAATATCCATCCAAATAACAGAAAAAGGAATGCTTAGCCAAACGTTCAAGCATCTGATCAATAAAGGGGAGGGGTAAATGCTCCTTCCGGGTTGCCTTATTCAACCTTTTATAATCAATACACATTCGCCACCCTGTGACAGTCCTAGTGGCGACTGGCACACCCTTGTCATTCTTGACAACGGTCATACCTCCTTTTTTAAGTACTACTTGTACAGGGCTAACCCACTTAAATTCTTCCTGCAGCAAGCAATTTAAGAACCTTTTTTTTAACTACCTCCATCATGTTTGGATTAAGCCTTCTTTGAGGTTTTATAGAGGAGGCATGATCGTCCTCAAGAATGATTTTATGCATACAAAAAGAGGGATTTATGCCCTTAATATCATCAATGGTGTACCCAATAACTTTTTTATATTTTCTCAAAACAGTGAGCAGTTGCTCCAATTCTGTGTCATGATGCTCAGCATTAACAAAAATAGTATATGTATTATTAGGACCAAGATATGCATATTTAAGAGTAGAGGGAAGGGGTTTCAACTCTACCTTAGGAGGCGTAGTACTCTCCCCAACACTCGATACACTAAGGAATTCCTTGACTGGAGTGATGATTGGATTGGCTTTTGCTTCCTCTAGTAGCCTTGTGTACTCCCTTGTTTCCCAATCTTCATCATTGACACTCCTTATTAACACCGTTTCAATTGCATCTTCCGTTTTAATCAAGGGAAGTTGCTCACGTTGTAAATCATCAAGGACATCCACTTGAAAAATAGTCTCTCCAATGGAAGGAGTTCCCATAGCATTCAAGAGTGAATACTCCCTTTTCTCATCTCCTACTTCAAAAGTGATTTTACCATTCTTTATATTAATGATTGCTCCCGCAGTAGCTAAGAATGGTCTAGAATGATAGGAACATGTGCATCCTCCTCCATTTCCATCACAACAAAATCACATGGAATAAAGAATTTTCCCACGCATAGAGGAACATCTTTAAGTACACCCAAAGGAAACTTGACTGACCGATTCGCAAGTTGTAAAGATATACGTGTAGGCTTTATTTCACCCATTTGAAGTTTCTTGCAGATAGAGAGCGGCATAAGACTCACACTTACACCAAGATCACATAATGCTCTGTTTATTTCTATGTCTCCAAGTTTCACCGGATTTGAGTAGCTACCTGGATCGCCTAATTGCACTACACTCTACAGTCAATGCAACCGTAGCATTCTCCTCTAGATTTTTCTAGTTAGAGAGCATATCCTTTAAAAATTTTGCATAAGATGGCATCTCGGATATTGCATCTAAAAATGGAATGTTGATGTAAAGCTTTTTCAAAATATCGAGAAAATTTCCATAATTTTTCTCTAACTTAGCTTGGGATAACCTCTGCGGAAAAGGAACCTTTGGGACATATGGAGCAAGTGGTGGTGGAGTCGTTTCCTTTGGCTCTTCCTCAATCATAGTACTTTCAACCACCTTTTCATTTGCGCCTACCCCTTCAACAACCTCCTTTGATGGCTCCCTTACGGGAGGATTTTTAATTGCTATCCACTCCTCAAAGTCACGGCATTCATATGCCCCTTTTGTGGTTTCTCTGTCTTACCCGAAAAGGTACCCGGTGTCTTTGAAGATTGGCCAACTTGATGAGCAAGTTGACTTATTTGATTTTCCATGAGCTTGTAACTGTTGGATGGAATTGTTTGTTGTGGTGATAAAGTTCTCCATCATTAGCTGAAGGTTAGATTTTTGAGGAGGTGGTTGCACAGGTTGCATGGTTTGTTGGACTAGAGGTGGTCTTGGATGGAAACCAGGTGGTGCATTATAATTGTTGTTTCGAGGTGGTGGTGGAGGTGGATTTTGTTGGGCTTGGGTATTCTTGTAGGAAAAATTTTAGTGATTCTTCCAACCTTCATTATATGTGTTAGAGTGGGGGTCATATGGCCTTTTGGGGTTAGAACTGTAGAATGAATTGGCTTTCTCGATTGATATCTCATTTTAATTTTGTGGGCAATTAGGTGCGATGTGACCTTGCACATTACACATTTGACAAGTCTCAAGTAAGCTAGCGGATGATCCAGCTTGGAGTCTGTTAAACTTGCTTGACAATGCTTGCACAGAGCTAGTCAAAAAAAGTTAGAGCATCAACATCTAATTTACCTCCCATCTTCACACTATTTCGGCCTCCTAGGTGATAGTTATCATTGGCTGCCATCTTCTCAACTAGTTCCTTTGCCTCAGTTGGGTTCTTAGTCAAGAGAGAACCCCTAGATGCAGCGTCAATATAGATTTGGAACTCATGAGTTAAACCATTATAGAAGGTTTGGATCAACATCCATTCAAGAATACCATGAAGAGCGCATTATCTCTACAATTGCTTGAATCTCCTCCAAGCATCATATAGGGAATCATCATCTGACTGCCTGAAAGTAGATAACTCGTTTCTCAACCTTGTAGTCTTTTCTAGTCCCAAGAACTTGACTAGAAAAGCCTTCACTAGTTTATCCCATGTGTCAAATGAGCCAGACCTTCATCTATCAACCATTCCTTCGCCCTATCCCGTAATGAGAAAGGAAAAAGGCAAAGTCTAAGAGCATCATCTGTAACACCATTTAACTTCATAGTATCGCATTTCTCTAAGAAACTATCAATGTGAGTCACTGGGCAATCATGAGATGTGCCTGCAAACGAATCATTGGAGATGAATTGAATGAATTGTGGTTTCAATTCGAAGTTCTGAGCAGTGCTCTGACAATGCTTGAGAGGAGTCCGGTTGTTGTATCAGGAATACCGTACTCCAAAAGAGATTTCGTTGCTGGGTCGTCCATGTTTCGATTTCTCCCTCTTCCTCTTCCTCTTCCTCTTCGTCTCCTTACAATTGCTTCGATTTCAGAATCAAAAGGTGCTAAATTGTCTGACCCTGAACGTCGTCTTTGCATGCAACAAAGAACTAATAGAAGAGTATCAAAAACACAAGAAACAATAGCCGAAGCAACAAATAAAGCTTAGTAATAACGAATCACGAATAATTAAAATGAAACCGTTAGTCCCTGGCAACGGTGCCGAAATTTGATAGGCGTGTCCCGTACCTAACAAAAATAAACCAAACAAGACCACTACAATGTAGACGGGCAAGTAAGGATCGAATCCCAAGAGACTAAGGTTCACCTAATTAATTACACTCAAGCAATCACTAAGCAAGTAACCAATCAATAGTGAAGAACACTAATAACAAATATCTAAATGACACAATTAATCTAGAGAAATGATAATCAATGAATTAAAGCATCCAAGATCAAATATTACCACGAATATAATCAATGCACAAATTAATCTACCCCCAATAACAAATGAATTGACAAGAGGAAAAGCATTCCCTAAACAATACCAAAGGTCTCTTCCGAGTTATCAATGGCTTCCCAAATCAACTATCAAGCCTATCTCCATGGAATCAAGTAAATAAGGGACATTAAACACAATACTTAACTTCCTAATCATCCAATCAACTACTTTCATGATGAACTTTAAACCCTTAATTGAAATACCCGAATCCCGTTAATACCCAACTTCCGTTGCGATAAGAACAAAGGGATGATAACAATACTAATTATTCCTAATCTAGCATTAGCACAAATACAATCAATTAAGCATGTCAATTGGGATTATTATTGGAGAATTTAAAGATTCAATTCATATATCGATCATATTCGGTCTTTGCAAGATCCCGGATTAAGTACTCACACATATTAACGAAATCAAAAACAAGAATTAATAAAGAAAACATAATTAATGAGCAATGAAAAGTAAAGGAGAGATAAAGTAGATGAATACCAATTACTTCAATTGAGAAAGCTTGAATTATTGATGAACAATAATCCAATACTAAGAGTAGAAATTAATTGCTTAAATAGAGTAAACTAGGCTTTTTAAGTAGTTCTAATACTAGAGAAAATAATAAGCCGTCTTCTAATTGTGATTACAATGGGTATTTATACCCCTTAAAAAGATGAAAAGCCGAAATTAATTAAAGACGGTTTCCGCGCAACAGTGCCCGGTTTGCCCGGGTAAAGCCTACCCGATCGGGCGGCCGAGGTAAAACTCCTTCTTCCTTGTGTTCTTCTTCTGCCCGGTCAGCCAGGGCTTTTAGTTCCCGGTCAGGCGCGTAACACAACTCGAGAATGAAGCTCTGACAATGATACTCCTCACTGCCCGGTCGGCCAGGCCATGACATGCCCGGTGAGCCAGGGCATGTGGGATCTATGATGATTCTTCGTAGTTAGCTCTTCCTTCCTTCGCCCTAGCAAACAGGGCATGGGGTATTTGGTAGGGCATTGGGGAATTCTTCATCTTTCACTCAACAACCTCTTCTATAACCATCCAAGATAAGCCCGATTCATCCAAGAAACCTCCGTATTCCTGTGAAACTTAATAAAATAGATCGAACACACTAGAAAAGAGATTGTTAGCGAGATATGGTTCAATAGAACCCAAAACCATGCAAATATACGCTATCAAACCGGGATAAAACATGGTATAGAACGCATACATCATCCGAGCTAGAGTATCGAAGCCGAGCGTTAAGCGTCGATTCAATTTTCGGAATCGACAAAGACGAGAAAAATAATTTAAACGACACGAGGGTCAAAACCTTTGTCGTAGCCCCGCATCGGTCTAGCATAGTGCTAACCATGCGGGGGTAGAGCAAGGATAGCTAGCCGAAGCCGCAAGCATGGCAGCTAGGCCGGCTAGTCATGCGCGTAGCATGACAGCCAGCCGAGCACACCATGCGGAGCATGGCTAGCAGTTCCTAGCTGCGTGTGTGTGCCAGCTCGCACGCTAGAAGCTAGCTAGCAGGCCGGTACGCACACCAGCCCACCAGCCAGCTGCGTGCACTGGGATAGCAGGCTTAGCCAAGGGGGTCAGGCCTCCAGCGTGCCGTGCCTTAGACCCTAAGGCTGGGGTTGCCAGTTGGCCGAGGCTTGTGGGAGGTCGGGTATGCTTGGTGAGCAAGGGAAGTGGAAGTGGAAGTGGTCCTCCTCCCTCCTTAGTTTATGCCAAGTGTCGTTTAATTGTTTGTTAATGCTATTTAAATTAATTTAGAATTAAATTAATTACTTATTTTTCTCACTTATCATTTCTCCCACATGGAAAGATGATTGAGTTTTTTGGGAGCCTTTGCCTATAAAAACTAACCTTGGGAGTTGGGATTATACACTTGAGTTGAACTTAATAAGGTATCTCCCAAAAGCGTGAGAAAGCCTTTAAGTTCGTAATACTATAGTTTCTTTTTGTCTAGCCTAGTCTAAGCAACGAGATAGGGACCCGTTCGGGCGCGTTGGTGTGCAAAGAAGGAGGATTTGCACTTGCGGGTCTAGAGCTTTTCGTGTTCGTGCTCGGGGTTCGTGAGAAGCACACTTCAAGGGTAAGGAAGTCTTTTCTTTACTTTCTCTCTCTCCCTCTTTATCTGTTTATCGCTTTTTATAATTACATGTTAGGTTGTTTAGTTATATTAATTATGCATGCGGTCCTTTGCGGGTTTTGTTTCCGCGCGATGTCGGACACCGTAAAACCCAATAAAAGTATAAGAGCCTCTTTCATTTAATTTTTACCAAAAAAATTAATTAAGGTGATTTAAAATGGATTTAAATTTCAAGATTAGCAACCTAATTAGATTAGGACCTCGTTTTTACCAATAATGAAAACCCCCCATCTCACAACACTCGTGTGTTTAAAAGGTTATATTATCTCTCAACCTAGTTAAATGTCGGCTCGAAATGTGACATATATTCCAGCATTTTGACAAGGGACTCATTTCTCATGAACACAATACCATGCACGAAGGTCAGAAGGTCTTTTCAAGCTTGTAATGTAGGCCGGGTAAAAGTGGGTAGGAAGTAAATTTGGGAGATATAGGCAATTATAGTCTAACCGGGGAGCTATCGAACATAATCAATAAACATCCTTGATCCATCATTCTCACTCACAAGAGCACATATCCAAATTACATTGTGAACATCCACTACTACCTTTATTTTTTTCATTCTTCTTTCTTTTTCTTCATTTTCAATTTATTTTTCTTTCTTCGTTGTTTTTTTCTTTTTCTATTTTTTTTCTTTTCATTCACTTTCTAAGGATAAAACCTCCATGCTTGTGATTCCTTCTTTTCTCTTTTTTTTATAGCTCCACATTAAACGCTAATTTCACCACAAAAATTAAACAAACACCACGATATAAAGCTCCCCCAAGCTAGACTAGGGAAAAGTAACCAATTGGGGCCAAAGGGTTAATTTTGTGACTTTCATGAAAAATATAGACAAGGCTACAACATGGGTGAGCAAGAAGGGAACAAACGTTTCTAACTAAATTCGTCTGGAGGTCACCTAAAGAACATGGCCTTCGTCCTGCTCAACGTGCATGTGCAATTTATAATGAAACATTACTAAGAGTCTAAAGTCAAAAGTAAGATCAATATCACACCAGGAACTAGACACACATGAATAAATAATTAAGTCTCAAGCCTCACAGTTAACACAGTCAAGCTCCAGACTCATACATGGTTAACAAAGTTGACTTCTACTAGGGATCAAAACAATTCAAGGTCAAATCATGATCATTTAATTCGTAGTGCAAGCCTTTCAATCAAGATAAGTCAAAAACCTTTTGGTGTCAAGGATAGGGGCACAGGGAAGTAGTTCATTGGCCATTCATTATCATGATTCTCGTATTTTTTTTTAACACAACCAAAGCAATAAAACAAACTAATCAAAGCAAAAGTAAATAAGAGAACGTACCGAGAGACACACAAATATACACAAACCTCCCCCAAGCTACACTCGGCAATGGCCTCATTGCAACGTGTTGGAGGTGGGAAAAACACCTATGAATCCTCACTCAAATTCATCATCATCATCATCTCCGTCATCCATCGTCACCATCATCATCATTACTAGCTGCCCCGCTACTACCAGCAATGTCTCCCATATCGGGAAAGGTATACCACGAAGGATGGGAAGCATCCCTCGGAATATGACCTTGCCTGTAAAAATAATCATAAACAGGATGCATAGACAGGCGATAGTTGGTCTCAAGTTTCTGGAGACAGGAAGAGAGATCCCGGATGCCAGCCATGATGGCCTCATTTTCAGAAGAGAGGGGTGGTGCAGGGGAAGATGAGAAGGGTCCAGCAGACTCTCGCCTATAGTAAGTCCTTGTGGGGGCAACTGGGCAGGTGAACTACTAAGGACCTCCAAAAGATATGAAGGTTGGTGAGGGCGAATCTTAGTAAGGTCAGGAGAGGGTAAGGAGATGGATCGCCCATTGTTCTTTATATTAAGCCATTTGTAATTTCCAAGTTCAACGGATAGCCAGTTGGTGGCAATGAAATAATGTTGGTCCAAGGTAATAGGACCTAGCACTAGTGTGCGATGGAATTCATCAAAAGCCTCCTTAACTTCCAAGTGGGTCACCAAACCGCCTAGGACTATGGGGTTGTTGGTACGGTCTCCATTAGGTTTAACAGTGGTGAAGGTAAGTCCCTGTTTCCTAAGATGAGGGAAAAAAGGTGAGTAATAATCATCCGAAAACCCTCATCAGAATCCCCATATCCTAGGTAACTACCCAAGATCGCAACCTCGTCTGCCCTAACATTATTAGGTTCTGTCCGTCCAAAAATAGTCCACCCAGAAAAGCGAGTCCAAAGTCTAAGGATGGGTTGATGGATTTTGGTAACTGGGGCATGTTGCATTGACTCAATGTTTTCACCTGTCATGGCAAACCACAAATTCCCAGACATGAAATTGTTCGGTTGCATGGTTAATCCTGTGGACGGAAGACCAAACTTCCTAGCAAAACCATCTAATGTAAGACGATGGGATTTATTCAACAATCTATAAACTACATGTGTCACCAAACCATGTCTACCTTTTACTACATCAAAAGAGCTCAAGAATTCAAGAGTGATGTCTTCATATGTATAATGGATCATGTTAAACAATTGAGACATGCCAAGTTTAGAAAACAAAGTTCTACATTCAGAATCAATTCCTAATTTTGCAAGAAGAGAACGATCTATAAAACGAGTAGGAATTACCTTCTGATGTTGGAGCTCTAGGAAACGCTTCTTTTGATTCGGAAATTCGGCCACGAACTTGATGTGAGGAAAACCAGGAATTCTCTCCAAATCGAGTTGTGGATTTGAGGGGCGCTCCTATTCACTACTACATTTAAGAGCTAATACAACGACTTTTTCCGTTGTATTAGGTGTCAAAAACCGTTGTATTAGACCTAATACAACGGCTAGCAACCGTCACATTTGCTGGGGTTGGATTAGGTCTAATACAACGGTAAAAGTGACCTAATCCAACGGATTGAGCAATCCGTTGGATTAGGTTCCCTTTTTTTGTTTTTGGGAATAATTGGACCAAATCCAACGGATTGAGGAATCCGTTGGATTAGTTATCTATCTAATCTAACGGATTGCTCGCCCAATCCGTTAGATTAGGTCCTTTTCCTTTTTTTTTTTTCTTTTGATACCGTTGTATTAGACCCTTTTTGTTCTTTTTTTTTTAAAACCGTTGTATTAGGTAATTTTTTTAATTTTTTTTTTGGAATATATAATTATATATTACACCTAAGCTATATATTATATATAATTAATTAGTTTAAATCTAAAAGGTATAATATATAATAAATATAAATTATATTAGTATATTTATAATTAAAAATCAACGAAGTGCATATAATATATTCGTTGCATTACAAAATAAACGAAGTGCCGATACTAACCAATAATAAATGAAAGTTCACTAATTAATTAACAATCGTTTGAAATAAAATTAGTACTTGCAATAGATACATAAAATGAACATTAGTCCGTACTTCATTCAACCCGGGGTAGCTCATCGTCATCAAGCACCTACATGTAAAAATAATAATAATAATAATAATAATAATAATAATAATAATAATAATAATAATAATAATAATAATAATAATAATAATAATAATAATATATTAGGACAAGTAATGTATATAAATCAACATTAGGGACAAGTAACAAATAATATAATGCATATAAGCCAAACAAAAGCTAAAACAAGTAATGCATAAGCCATAACACCACCAACAACACAACAATAACACCACCAATTGGGGAAATTAAATAACGCACAATAACACGAACACACAGCAACACACAACAACACAACAACACGACACAACACCACACAACGCAGCAGCAACAGGCAGGCAGGCAGCAGCAACAGGCAGGCAGCAACAGCGGCAGGCAGACAGGCTTAATTATTTCCTGCCACTACCTTTCAACAAGCTTGAACACAATTTGCCACTGCTCATCTCTTACAGGAGTTAGGCACCTCTGGTTCTTGAAAGGCAAGCAAGGAAACTTGATTTAGTCTTTTGACATCTTCATTTCCAAATATTTAGCAGATTCTTCCTTATTTTCTATCAAGTACCAACCTAATCAGCTGTTAGTAGGCTAGAACTTAGCCAAGCCCCTAGGCACTAAGGCCATGAAAGCTCGATCACGTCTCATAATTAACACCTAACATGATCAACCCAATGATTATAGGAGGAAGAATGTAAGCCACCAATAGATCCTTGGCAGGAGCCATAGAACCTTATAATCCCTATTGAATGCTATTATTAGGATTACTTTTGATTAACTTTTATGGCACACCTAGGAGGGATACACCTGTTTCAACAATGCTTAAGGATGTTCCGGCAAGCTTTACAGTTTTGCAAAGGCCTATTCTCAACAAATGCTAAACACAATTAACTAGCTCATACTTGAGTCCCATTGCACATCGATGTCTATCTTTATGGTCTCATTATAGTAATTGGCTTCATTCGTTAGTCTGAAAGATAACTTACTAACAAATTTCAATATAACTTCCTAGTGTTATACTTTTAGTCGTAGGGTTATTTTGATACTCATCTACCATTTGTTTATTTGCGATGTAGCATTGGAATTGTATCTTACGGGTCATTGTTTTTTGGATTTAGTTAAATTAAGTTCAAATTCTAAAATGGTCTTCACTACCATGCTTGCATTTCTGAACCTTTCTAAAATTTTTCACCTTTGACATGTCTAAATGAAGTCTTTAATTCTTAGCTGAGGCATCTTTTGCCTATTCTTGCTGAGACACCTGTCTATTTCGATTGCGGGAGCTCTCTTTTTTGGAACTAGATAACAACAGCCCCACTAGTAAGCTGCATGTTTTACTATATTAATAATTGCTAACATCTGGCCAGTTATAGGCATTTAATATCCAATTCTAGAATTGTGGTTAACATTAGCTTTATGTATCAGATTCTCAAGGGGCTCAAACGGGAGATACCATGTCTGCGAGGACCAGGTCACCATTATGTTTCCTAAACATTTTAGGCTTCATTAGCATTTTAGGCTGAATATTGTTAGATTAAACTTGTGTTTTTGGGGTACAAGGCAGTGGCTCAATTTCTGAAAAATCATTCTCCTGTATCCAACTTCGCAGATGGTTATGATAATTTAAGTTTAAGCACCATATTGGAAGGGAGACGAAGGAAGTTACGTGCACATATGTTTTATGAAACTTTGGTAAGTCTTAAAATGCTATTTCAAGGTTTTCTTAGATTGGATTAGGTCTTTAGGAGTACCTCTTAGGTTCATGAAATCCCTCACTGACTATTTGATTGAACTTTTTATTTTTTGTGCTACATTGTGACAAGGATTATCTCCTATTGGTATGTTCTTATTTCTATGCTTTCCCCTAGTATTAGCTTCCTAAACCCTAAAGATGGACAATTATAACTATGAGAAATACTGTATTTCATCAAATCAGTTGATTAATATATACATAAGAATTCAAGATTCAACGCAAAATGATTTAGTATTTCAGTAATCACATTTCTGATGGTTTCTACTAACTTCACCTTGTTAGCCCAAATTTCCCCTGCTATAACAACACAACACCACCATTTGTTGTTTCTATTCAGAGAAGTTTAGAAAAGAAAGTTCAGAGCAGAGAAGTGCAGATTGTACCTGATTAAATGATTTTGAAGATTGTCCACTTTGGGCAGTATTTCGATTTGGTGCATAAGCAAAACAAAAGCTAAAACAAGTAACGCATAAGCCATAACACCACCAACAACACAACAATAACACCATCTTCTTGTGATTATGCTGACTCCAAAGCATCAATTTTGGCCTGTTTAGGCAAACATAGTAATATGTTACTAATTATCGAATAACTAACAATATTTAGGCGTACAATGTTACTAAATATCGAATAACTCACAATATTCTCTTTTGCTTTTTCAGAGCTGCTAATGTATGTCCTTTCAGCACTTCTTTTTCTTGATTCCTTATAAACCTTTGCTTGAGAAGGTTCTTTCTTGTCTGGATCTTGTTGTTGCTATATATATGTAAATCATAATATATAAATTAGAATAAAAATATATGCAACATGCCTATAATTTAGATTTTAAAAAATGTACTTACCAACTCATGGCGTAAAATAGCATATGATTTGCGTCCCAAAGTGTGCATATCGTCTAACATTAGACGATTGCCTTTTTTACTGTCGCTAACTGCCTAGGGAAAATCGGAAACCACCATTTAATTCAAAATTAAACACATATTAGATAAAATTATTTCAGGAAATTAGATTAGAATCAATATACGTACAATACCTTCTCCTCATCGGTATGCCAATATTGTAGAAGATCTTGGAACATCTGATCGGAGATTGTATCTGGTTTATGTTTCCACCTTAAATCATCCGTATCATAAGCATAGAAGTGTTTCTTCTTGATTTGGCATTTATAATATTTCCAACAACTATTTACAGCATCCATCACCCAATTAAACCCGGCATGGGGGACCATATACTTCTCCTGTTCAAGCTAAAACATTAGTAACGTGTTGAGGTGTAAGTGTAATGCAACTAAGACAGTATCATTTACCTGGACATAATCCAATATTTATTAAGTGTCGGTAGGCTTGGAAAATTTCTATAGTTAAGCGGTGCAAGTTCGGAATCCCTTGCCACCATTCCCAAAAAAAACTTGAACTCTTGCACAATCTCCTTTGTAGGTGCAACTGGCTGACCTAATGAGTTCAGAACAATCACATGACGCTCCTCTCTTGAACATGCGTGAACTCTTTGGAGCATTGTTCGACCTCGTTTTTTCGTTTTGGAGGACAATTCTCTTGATGTTTCTATGGTAATAAACACTAGTCAAATGGATGGATTTGTTTTCCTGTTCCTTGAATTTGTTCTTAACAACATTATTCACAATTAATCGGCATTTCAACATGAAAATCAGACCAAATCAATCACACATTGAATTAAGCACACCATGAATTAAACTTATGTAAACATCGAAACATGTTGATGTTAGCTTAGTAGTTAGAATTCAATCTTCCTAAAAAAGTTCGTAGGATCAAATCCCGGAATTCTTAAAAGGCAGCCATTAAGATTTAAGCATACAGATTTTATACACTGCTCCTTAACCCAAATAATCTACAAAAATGATTATATTATGAACTTAGCGTATTGAAATCCACAGGAAAAAAAAATAAATCTTCCTGACTAAACAAAGGGTTAAAAAAATAAATTCAACTTGTTTCTAATTTATCCCCTTGTTTGATGGTAAATATAGATCATGACCATTCTAAACTCATAAGCAAATATTTACAAACCAAGTAACATAACAAATTCCTGATCCAGATAATACTACCACTATAGCCCACACGGTTCCAAAATGTAATCAACATATTTATGCAATCAACACAGTTTAGAAAACCTATTTGCATTAACAGAGTAAACTTATACAAATTCAAACCTTTCACTTGCACATATACATAATTCCATAAATAAAAATTCCATAATATTACGGGTCTGGATAGCATATCTAAATCACCTGAGAAAATTTATACCTGAGTACTATTTTAAAATAAGAAAAATCAGTAGAAAGAAAGTTAGAAAACTTGAATGGAAAAGTGTACACATAATTTTTAGAAAGGGATAAAAGGGATGGAAGAGTCTGATTCACATAATTCTTGTGATCTGATTCACAAACAAGAGGGCCATTATATGATGTTCTGGCTGGGAGAAGGGATGGAAGAGTCTCTTTAGATTCAAAGGTGCTACGAGACATCCCTACACCCTCAATGAATGTTGACCAACTCACATAGAGCTTTTACAGAAATCTGACACAGGAAGAAATGGTCACCCTATCAGGTATCAATAGTGAGGGTGAATTTATCTTTAACTTTGGTTGGACTTTCACACAGAAATATGCCTGGCCTTCCACTTTTAGAATTTACCGAAAGTCAAAGAATAATGTACTATTCAGTTACGAGTCAGGACTTCGGAGTCCCAACACAAAGTAGTCAGTCAAATCATGTTTCCATCTAAAGGTCCTAATAAACAGCTTTTAGTTTTCAAGCCGAACCAGCAATTAGATAACATTCTTATTAACTCTTCGATGTTAGCTATCCAGTAATAAACTAGCTAATAAAATTCAAATCCATTTTAGCTAGTCATGATAGGTTTTGAATAGCTATCAACAAACACAATGGTCGAACTTGGTTTTCTAGGTTTAAAATTATCCAATTTATACCAAAGTTCATTTGCATGAATAAGTCTTGAATAGTTGAGCTTGAACACTTGAACCTAAGTCCCTAATCTATTGAGGACCTTAATCTGACATCAAATTCATAAACCCACTCATCATATATACAAAGACACCCAAGCTTTAAGCCACAAGCTCAAGTTGATCACATAAATTTCACAATTTATTTTAGCATCAAGATACCAATTCAGCAATATAAATCCATTTCCACCAGGTAAAAAAGAGAGACTTGACCTGCAGTCCTACAGATATTGGTGGAAAGCAGCAGAAATGTAGTTTTAAGTATATGACTAACAAGAAAATGCAGCCCAACTTTCTGAGAGAAATCAAGGACTGACTACAAAATGCTTCAGGAATGTAACTACACACTACATCATTTCTCAGAGTAAGAAACATAATTCATAATTACATAAAGTTAATTAGTCTCATGTTTATCCCAAAAGTATCTTCCAAACTGGAACACCATGCAAACACCTATCCAAATACCCCCTTTCTACCACCCTGCCCTACAAATACCTGAAAGTTAATTAGTCTCATGGTACACCAATTTGAGAAGCAAAATCCTCTTCTTTGCTCTGTTAGCTCCTATCGTTGTTCTTGTACAAGAAGTACATATATGTATGTATGTATATAACAAGAATATCATGATTAGAATATACCTTCCATTCCAAACTGTGCTATAACTGCTCGGTCCGCTGCTTCATTGCCCTCACAATCTTCCTGAAGAGCATCAGCGGTCTCATTCAGCTGCTCATCATCATAATTTTGCCCTTGTTCAGGCACCTCACTGCTCATCATCAGCGCTTCATCTTTTTGTCGTTTCCAAAACTCGAGGTACGCTGACATTGAGCCAGGAGAACAGAACGCTCTTTTCTTCACAGATGCCTTTGTTGACCCCAATTGCTATTCTTGCTGCTTCCTTTGAATTTCCCGTGTGGGAACTTGATGTTGTTGAAAAGAGACCTATAAAACAAAAGCAAAATAAGTAATGCATAATCAAACAAGTAATATATATAAGTAATACATATATATACAAAGCAACAAATTCAAGTTACTGAAGATACCTTTTCATATACTTGTATTTTTCAAGTACCAAGAGTTTCCTGTTCCATATCAGAATCTCCTGAGGAGCCATCATCTGTTTGCCTCACACTCGAACAAAGTATGTCGCGTGTTTTTTGTTGCAGTATCTTATTCGCCAAGGATCCCGATCCTTGGGCTTACATTCTTTCAGCATTATACTTCAATTTTTGGAGCCTTTGTAACTCATAGTCTGGAAGCTGACTTTGGGAATCAGAAGCTTTTGCTTTACCCCCCTTAATCTGCAAAGCCATTCAATGAGAACATGTTTACAACCCATAAAAGATAATAATATGAAAAACAATGCAATATAATATAATATAATATAATATAATATAATATAATATAATATAATATAATATAATATAATATAATATAATATAATATAATATGGAAATCAATGCAATATAATGTAATATAAATTGTTAGGGAAAAAACCATCAGAAAGCTCTCTAGGAGGGATTTGAACAGCATACTGCCAACCATCTATATTAAGATCTTCAACATAAAACACTTGATGTGCTTGAGATGCCAAGATAAATGGTTCTTCTTTAGAAATCGTCTTATACATATTAATCATTACAAGCTCATCATCATCTTTTTTCAGAGTGAAACCACACATACTTAAATAAGACGACACAGAAGTAGCCATGGTACGAAATTGAAATGATGTCTGTTATTGAACCACAATAATTGACATTAGCCTTAATAGGATTTTGATCTTTGGAACTCGCAAAGCTATGTGTCATGGCCATTATAGTGACTCAACTATTTTGAGTTACACAATTAGCATCGCGCTTCATGGTATGGAACCTAAAACCATTGACTGAGTACCTTGTGTACTTTATAGCAATGTAAGAAGGCCCTTTTGATAACCATATGATATTGTTAAGGATGATGTCTTGACCCTCATCAACAATGAAATCAACTTTCTCCCTAAACCAATCCACAAAATCCTTGTTGTGATCTTGAACGCTATTCCATTTCCTTTTTCCTCTAGCGCTTACAAATTCCTTGTGCTCACTATGAAATATAAAAAGATTATTTTATTAACACTACAAATAAAACATATTGAAAACCAAGAGAAAAAGAAAAGAAACTACATTTTGGTTGGTAATCTAACCTTATATATTTCTCAACTTCCTCGCAGTCACAATTGAACAAGACATAACGATGCGCTTGTACCCATTGATTGTGATCAAGTATGTGTTCACGGTCTTTTTTCTTTGATGTCCTTCCTTTCCTTTTTATTGGAAGTCCTACCTTCGGAAGAAATGATTGTGATGTACTACAAGCATTAATTTGAGGTGTGGCTGAGTTTGATCCTTTCAAAAATCTAGCTACAAAGGCAACACATTTTTTGGCTAGATATCCTTCTGCCATTGAGCCTTCTTGACGAGTTTTATTTCAAACATCTTACTTCAGTCCATGAAGATACCTCTCAATCCCATACATACACCTTGAACTTACAGGTCCACCCAACTTAATTTGGCCCACCAAGTGTAGAGGTAGATGTACCATTATATCAAAAAAGGCAGGTGGAAAAATCCTCTCAAGTAGGCATAATGTTTTAACTATCTCAAATTGCAATTTTTCAAGATGTTGAGGATCAATAGTTTTACTCCATATACTATTAAAAAAAGCACAAAGTCTAATCAAAGGAGTAGCAACATCTTTGGATAATGTTGTCTTCACTGCAATTGGGAGCAAATAATTCATCATAAAATGTGCATCGTGGCTTTTGTAGCCTGCAATTTTCCTTTCCCCAACTTGTACGCATCGACCAATGTTAGAAGCATAGCCTTGAGGAAGTTTGGAATTTTTGAAGTCTTGGCAGAACTTACGTTTTTGCTCCAATGACATCCAAAAGCGGGATCTTGGAAATTCTTCGCCACCATCTTCCAATTCTCTTGGTTGAAGCTCCGACATCAAATTAAGCTCTACCAAATCTTGACGAGAACTCACATGATCCTTGGTCTTTTGAGAAATGTCTAACAATGTCCCAATGACACTATCAAACACATTTTTCTCAATATGCATTACATCGAGGTTGTGGCGATTAAGACAATGCTTCCAATATGGTAACTCGAAGAAAATGACCCTCTTTTTCCATGGATTTGGATCATCAACAACACGCCTTGGTTTCTTTTGCTTCTTTCCAAATTCATTTGGAAAATCACGCAACAGATGAGCTACATCAATTCCATTCAATGGAGTAGGTTGATGTCTTTCCTCAACCTTCCCATCAAAATTCCTCTTATCACGATGCCAAGGGTGAAATGGAGGTAGAAATTTACGATTTGCCCTATACACATTCTTAGCACTATAAGGCAACCACTCAGAATCTAATTCATAATGACAATCAGGGCACGCCAAGTATCCTTTTGTGCTCCAGCCAGATAACATCGCATAAGCAGGAAAATCACTAACGGTAGTCTATATGTATGTGAAACCTGTAGTTACTCGAAGCATCATAAGTTTCCAGTTCGAACTCCCACAAATCCTTCAAGTCCTTCATTAGTGGTTGCAAATATATGTCAAGGTCATTGCCTAGGGAAGAAGGACCCGGAATTAGTAGTGCTAACATCAAATACTCAGGCTTCATAATCATCCAAGGAGGCAAGTTGTAATTGATCAACATAACTGGCCAAGTACTATGTACTATACTCATTAAGTTGAATAGGCTGAATCCATCTGTGGCTAGTTCTAGCCTCACATTGCGCGGGTCATCAGAAATCTCTTTGTACAGGGAATCAAATTCCCTCTAAGCTTGACCGTCAGCTGGATGATGTAAAAGATGATCATTTTAATGCCCATCCGCATGCCAAGTCATGTATCTCGCTGTCTCTTGACACATAAATAGTCGTTGAAGCCTTTTCTTTATCGGAAAGTACCTAAGAATCTTTTTAGGAATCCTATAGGTCTTTCCTTTACCATTTTCTATGTCATCCTCTTTGTCCTTTGATTTCCATCTTGGTGTTTTACAAACATGGCAGCTTGTTGCATTTTCATGCTCTTCCCAATATATCATGCAATCATTTGGACATGCATCAATCTTTGTATAATCCAACCCCAACCCTTTCAAAATACTTTTTGCTTCATTGAAAGAAGTTGGCAACTTTGCATCAAGCAACACCTCCCTTATAAGCTCCAATATATCTCCAAATGCGGCATTGGTTAGATTATGATCACACTTCAAAATAAAAAGTCGAATCATGAAGGAAAGTTTTGAGTGGTTTTTGGAACCAGGATACAATTCTTCTTTCCCTTTTTCAACTAACCTCAAAAACTTTTTTGCCTCATCATTTTGCCCCTCTCTAAAAGCATCACGTGCATGATGCAACAACCTCACTACGTCATTGCTAGAGTCACTTGGGATTGACCCTTCATCATTATCCAAACTAGTTTCTTCTCTTTGGATATTGAACCCTAAGTCTAATAACTTATCCGATCTTGGAACAAAACCATTACAAATTAGATGGTCTCTGACCACACCTTCACGCCGCTAAAAACGATAATGACAAATTTGACAGGGACAACAAATTTGATTTCCTTGAGACTTAATAGCAAAAGCCCTTTTGACATATTCGCCAACTCCTTGTTCATATTCATCGCTCCATTTGGCAAACATCCACCAATTCTTAGTTCCACCTTCCATTCCTTAGGGTAAAAATAGAAATTAACAGAGTAAATAGGAAAAATTATTTGATAATTCAAGAAGGCCTTGACTTAAGTCCCTAATTTAGCTGTTACATAATGTTCCATATTTTGATTGATGTGGATTAGAATTTAAAAACAAGAAAAACCCATATTTAATTTACCATTTACATCATAATGAACAATTGACATTCAACACTAAGTAATGAACGGAAAATAATAAAGCAAACAATCAAATATGCACAGGTACAACTATTAGTTTCCATACTCTTGCTTTTAAGTTCCTTGCGGTCCATAAATTTGTCGGTTTAAAAGTTGAAAGACCTAACAAGTCAGATAGTTTGTGGATGCTAAAATAAGAAACTATCTTTCTTTCATAGTCCATAACTCCATACTGCCTCTAATACCTTAATGACCAAAATAGTACATAATCTATCCCTGTATCGATAAGTACACTAATTTTACCCCAAAGATGAGTAATATTGATTCTTACCACATTACTATAAACCCAAATCAAACTTTACAATGAAATGCTTCAGATTAGTCAAAACCAATAAGTATAATTAGCAACCCACTTGAAAATATTAAAATTGAAGCAAACCCAGATCATATTTCACGCTACTAATTAGTCAAAAACAACAAATTTGATGAGAAAATCCACTTCAAAATTAATATGAAGTATTGTCTATCAAAATAGAAAAATAAAGTAGTGATTCGGTCATAAACACTATATTTTGATTTATTCATGCAAAAGAGTACATTCAGATATTCAGTCCATCTGTCCATGGAAATTGAACAGGCCAAACTAACCTGGTAGAAAGTACCTGACAAGAAATAGCTTCAAGATTCCAATTTTAAGATAGAGAACGTTGTAGTTCATCAGTGCACCTAAGATTAATTCATCTAACTCATTTCTGGAAAAAGGGAACATAATCAAGAACATGGAACCTAGAAAAGCAAGGACAGCAGCTTGGTAACAGAGGAAATCCAAAGCACATACCACAGTAAGATTTAGAAAACAGAACATAGAGCCGAATGATATATTAAGGAGTAGAAAAAGAGTTCGGATTGCATAAAGCTACACAAGCGAATTGCCTGTTGGGTTTTGTTTATAGAAAATTGTGCAAATACGCCCACCCAAACAGATTTACATAAAAAAGAACAAAGGTTGCAGCATAATTATGAGTAATGTTTAAGCCAAAGTAATATCAAAACTAATGGCACAAAATAAGTTGTCTATTATACTATAGAAGAAAATTAGATACTGTAACCTCATATTAATTGTACAGGTTTTATAAGCAGAAAAATGCAAAGGCCAGCAGAAAGAACTGAGAAAAGGTTAAGATTCGAGCAGCTAACTTCAACAGGTATGTCAAGTATTCCTAAATAAACCCCTAAAAAAAATTTAGGGTTCATAAATCTAAAAACCACCACAACAACCACCCTCAAGCAAGCAATCAGCCACATGCAACATTCGAACAAATCAACAAATCTAAATCCAAAGATTCGAGCAATCAACCACATGCAAGGTTCAAACTAAAACTAAATACAAAACAAAATCAATAAGTCTATAATTGGTAGACGAAAATTCAAGGTATACCTTAAATAGAGATTCGAGCACGAAGCAGCGGCGAGGGAGGAGAACAAAGGAAGGACCAGCAGCGAGCTAGGAGGAGAACGAAGGAAGACTGATGAGAAGTTTGGGAAAGGGGTTTCAATTTCATTTTTGGCTCTAATATTTCAGCATTTCTCGGGGGTTTTTTTTTTTTTTTTTTTGACTTATCCGTTGTATTAGGTCTTATTCTTTTTTCCTTTTTTTTTTTTTTGGGGGCTGATCCATTGGATTAGCTCCACTGATCCGTTGGATTAGCTCCAACTGAAAAATAAAAAAAAAATAAAATTCGGGAACACTATCCGTTGTGTTAGAAGAATAATCCGTTGGATTAGCTCAACTAATACAACGGATTAGTATATCTAATACAACGGTTAGTATAAACCGTTGAATTAGCCCTATTTTAGTGTAATATAACGGATTAGCCTAGTCTAATACAACGGTACAAAATTAGCCGTTGTATTAGCTATTTTTGTACCGTTGTATTAGATAAAAAATATAGTAGTGTATATTTCTCTTCCTTGTAGCCATTGATGCTTCTCAAGCTTTCTCTCTCTAGAAAAGAAAAATGGAATTCGGGTGAGATGAGTGTTTGGAGGGATAGGAATAGTAGTGGAGGTTGGATACGGGGTAGAAGTGATGAAGGATGAAGAAATTGAAAGGATTTGAGCCAAATTTGTGGGGATTAGAGGAGAGGATGAGAGTTAGGGATTGGGATTTGGGGATTTTTAGAGAGAGAGAGAGGGTGAGAATAATGAAGATGGAAGATTAGAATGAAGTGAGAGGATTTTATTTTTTTCCTTTTGAAATACGACTTGCATTGCTGCTATCCCTCGTGCCTGATCGGGCATAGGCGCCCGGTTGACCCAGCGGAGAGAGTTAGGAAAAGTTCTTGTTTTCTTTCTTCTATTTTCTGAACTTAGCTTCTCGCGCTCGATCGGGCATCCTATGCCCGGTCTGACCGGGCGGTGAAAGCAACAGACGTTCTGCCTTCCTCTTGCCTCTTGCGCCCGGTCCGACATGACATGCCCGGTCTGCCCGGGCGGTAAGGGTTAGAAAAAAATTCTACGCTTCTTTTTCCCTTTTCTTCTCTTATGATCAGTGCTTCTCGCGCCCGGTTGGGCATCCTATGCTCTTTCTACTAGGGCGACGAGTAATTCCTCGTTTTATCAACCTTCGACGACTTTCTTGACATCCCACTTCTTGCATAGCTCGGTGTTCTCTGAAAAGCAAAAACTAAAACAACACAAACATAATACTAAAAAAAAGAAAAAAAAAAGAAAAGGAAAATAGGGAAAGCTAAGAAAACGGGTTGCCTCCCGCAAGTGCTTGTTTATAAGGTCGCTAGCTCGATCATAGTAATGCTCATTGAGTTGGCGATGGGGAAGAGAGTGCGATGTCCACCTTCTCTTCGATAGGATCCCCGAATCGATAATGCTTCACCCTTTGTCCGTTAACCTTGAAAGTGCCTCTGGCCTTATTCCATAGTTCAATAGTGTCGTAGGGGTAGGCCTTAAAAACAGTGAAAGGACCCAACCACCTAGACCGAAGCTTTCCGGGGAACTATTTCAATCGTGAGTTGAATAGAAGAACTTGATCTCCTTCCTTGAATTCTCTTCTCACAAGGCCCTTATCATGCCAACGGTTAGTTCTTTCCTTGTATAATTTTGAACTCTCATAGGCTTCAAGATGGAGCTCATCTAGTTCATTCAATTGTAACAACCACTTTTCTCCCGCTGCTTTAGCATCAAAATTTAATCTCTTCATAGCCCAAAATGCTCAGTATTCTAGCTCAATGGGTAGCTGGCATGTCATCCCATAAACAAGTCTGTATGGGGTTGTATCTATTGGCGTTTTAAAAGTTGTTCGGTATGCCCATAGTGCATCATTAACCTTGGCAGACCAATCTTTTCTTGTCCTTGCAACCGTTTTCTCTAAGATAGACTTAATTTCTCGGTTAGACACTTCAACTTGACCACTGGTTTGTGGATGATAGCCAATGCCAAGCCTGTGTTGCACTCCATAATTTTTCAACATCGCTTCGAACCGATGCTCCAAGAAATGTGTTCCCCTGTCACTAATCAACACACGTGGGATACCAAATCGGGGAAAAAAATTTTCTTGAAAAATTTACTTACCACACGAGCATCATTGGTTGGAGTAGCAATAGCTTCAATCCACTTTGACACATAGTCAACGGTACTAGGATATATCGGTTTCCATGAGAAGAAGGAAACGGACCCATGAAGTCTATCCCCGACACGTCAAACAACTCGAACTCGAGTATGTTGTTGAGTGGCATTTTATTCCTCTTAGAAATATTGCCCGTCCGTTGACATAGGAATATACATCTTTGAACAAGGTTGGCCAATAAAACCCGCACTACAAAATCTTCGCGGTTGTCTTCGAAGGACCTGCATGTCCACCACACAGTAAGTCATGGCAATGAGAGATGACATTGTTAACCATTAGTTTTGATAATATTACTTTGTCAAGTGGATGTCCCTGATGATTTACAACGTGAGCAACTTCCCTTGATCAAAACGGAAGATGCACTTGAAACGGTGTTAATAGGGAGTGTCAATGATGAAGATTGGGAAACAAGGGAGTAAACAAGGCTACTAGAGGAAGCAAAAGCCAATCCAATCATCGCTCTAGTCAAGGAAGTCTTTAGTGTATCGAGTGTTAGGGAGAGTACTACGCCTCCCGAGGTAGAGTTGAAACCCCTTCCCTCTACTCTTAAATATGCATATCTTGGTCCTAATAATGCATATCCTGTTATTGTTAATGTTGAGCATCACGATACAGAATTGGAGCAACTGCTCACTAGTTTGAGAAAATATAAAAATGTTATTGGGTACACCATTAATGATATTAAGGGCATTAATCCCTCTTGTTGTATGCATAAAATCATCCTTGAGGACGATCATGCCTCCTCTATAGAACCTCAAAGAAGGCTTAATCCAAACATGATGGAGGTAGTTAAAAAAAAGGTTCTTAAATTGCTTGATGCAGGAATAATTTACCCTATCTCAGATAGTAAGTGGGTTAGCCCTGTACAAGTAGTACCAAAAAAAGGAGGTATCACCATTGTCAAGAATGATAAGGGTGAGCCAGTCGCCACTAGGACTGTCACAGGGTGGCGAATGTGTATTAACTATAGAAGGTTGAATAAGGCCACCTGAAAGGACCATTTCCCCCTCCCCTTTATTGATCATATGCTTGAACGTTTGGCTAAGCATTCCTTTTTCTGTTATTTGGATGGATATTCTGGTTTCTTTTAAATTCCTATTCGTCCTTGTGATGAGGAAAAGACCACATTCACATGTCCATATGGCACTTTTTCATACCTTAGGATGCCATTTGGATTATGTAATGCCCCAGCCACGTTTCAACGTTGTATGATGGCAATTTTTTCAGGTTTTATAGAGAATTCTCTGGAAATATTTATGGATGATTTTTCTATTTATGGAACATCTTTCGATGTATGTCTTGAAAATTTGAAAAAGGTGCGCCATAGATGTCAAGAAGTCAATCTAATTTTATACTGGGAAAAGTGTCATTTTATGGTACAATAGGGAATCGTTTTAGGTCATGTCGTGTCAAATAAGGGTATTGATATCGATAAGGCCAAAATAGAGGTCATTGAGCGACTACCCCCTCCAAACTCTTTAAAAGGAGCTCGAAGTTTCCTTGGTCATGCAGGTTTTTACCGTCGCTTCATTAAGGATTTTTTAAAATTTGCTTGACCTCTAACTGAGCTTCTAGCTAAGGATGCTCCATTTATTTTTGTTGATGCTTGTCTTGAAGCTTTTAACAGGTTGAAGGAAGCTTTGATCTCTGCTCCTGTTATGCAACCCCCTGATTGGACCCTACCTTTTGAAATTATGTGCGATGCTAGTGACTATGCGGCAGAAGGCGTTTTGGGGAAACGAAAGGACAAAAAACTTCATGCTATTTATTACTCTAGTAAAACTCTTACCCCTGCTCTAATGATTTATGCCACAGCCGAAAAAGAGATGCTAGCAGTAATTTATGCAATAGACAAGTTTCATTCTTACCTAGTTGGTTCGAAAGTAATAATTCATACAGATCATGCGGCATTGAGATATTTAATGAGTAAAAGTCACGCCAAGCCGCGGTTGATTCGTTGAATCCTTCAGCTGCAAGATTATGACATCGAGATAAAGGACACGAAGGGGACTGAGAATGTCATCGCAGACCATCTCTCTCGCCTCCTCCTCGATAATGGGGACGGAGATGACCTCCATTTTGATGATTCTTTCCCTGATGAACATTTATTAGCTCATTTGAAAATTAAGTCACCTTGGTATGCTGATTTAGCTAATTTTTTGTCCACAGGAACAATGCCTTACGGCTACTCATCTCAATAACGCAAGAAATTCCTCTATGAGGCAAGGAGACACTTTTGAGTGGATCCTTTCTTGTATAAGCTATGTGCGGATGCATTGATTAGATGATGCATCCCAGAGAATGAGGTAAACAATGTCATCTCTCATTGCCATGACTTACTGTGTGGTGGACATGCAGGTCCTTCGAAGACAACCGCGAAGATTTTGTAGTGCGGGTTTTATTGGCCAACCTTGTTCAAAGATGTATATTCCTATGTCAACGGACGGACAATATTTCTAAGAGGAATAAAATGCCACTCAACAACATACTCGAGTTCGAGTTGTTTGACGTGTCGGGGATAGACTTCATGGGTCCGTTTCCTTCTTCTCATGGAAACCGATATATCCTAGTACCGTTGACTATGTGTCAAAGTGGATTGAAGCTATTGCTACTCCAACCAATGATGCTCGTGTGGTAAGTAAATTTTTCAAGAAAATTTTTTTCCCCGATTTGGTATCCCACGTGTGTTGATTAGTGACAGGGGAACACATTTCTTGGAGCATCGGTTCGAAGCGATGTTGAAAAATTATGGAGTGCAACACAGGCTTGGCATTGGCTATCATCCACAAACCAGTGGTCAAGTTGAAGTGTCTAACCGAGAAATTAAGTCTATCTTAGAGAAAACGGTTGCAAGGACAAGAAAAGATTGGTCTGCCAAGGTTAATGATGCACTATGGGCATACCGAACAACTTTTAAAACGCCAATAGATACAACCCCATACAGACTTGTTTATGGGATGACATGCCAGCTACCCATTGAGCTAGAATACTGAGCATTTTGGGCTATGAAGAGATTAAATTTTGATGCTAAAGCAGCGGGAGAAAAGTGGTTGTTACAATTGAATGAACTAGATGAGCTCCATCTTGAAGCCTATGAGAGTTCAAAATTATACAAGGAAAGAACTAACCGTTGGCATG